TATATATAAAGGTATGCAATATTAATAATATTTATAACAACAGTGACTTCTTTTATGATATAACCAAAAATACGACAAGAAACAAAAACAAACAAACACATCAACAAAACAATAAATCCTTATGTCACCCAAGAGTTTCCTTTTTAGTCCATTCATGAATCTAGAGTGATTCAACGGTTCATCAATCAATGTCTGATTGTTGTAGGGTTTTTCTTGTCCATAACCCAAAGCAAATAAGTTCAGAATGAGAAAGTAACTTGGTTCATGTAAATCCTACCGCGAAGCTGCGGTGATCCGGTAGCTCGCCATCTTGACGTGACACAGGGGGTGAAAAAAAACCTGACCTAAACAAGGTCATAAATAAAAATACAAATTAGCTATCATATTTAAACATTGTTAAAATGTTATTCAAAATAAATAAACATTCAACAATTACAACATAAATAAATAACTTCATTTCAATAAGTGGTTCTCATGAATTTAAATTAAAGATCGCGATCAGATTAAAGTTACCGGTACAAATCAAAGTAAAGTTACCGGTACAGATCAAAGTAAAGTTACCGGTACAGATCAAAGTAAAGTGCACTTTTTAAATTCCATCTAAGTTTAATTGACGCAGTCAATTAAACTTAATTGACTTCCATATCATTTCAAAAAAAGAATTGTTTTTTTCCTCTTATTCCTCACAAAAAAAAAAAAAATATGTCTAAGCCCAGAGTTCTGTAGGCTGTTAGCAAAATTTAATAAAAAGTAACTGAAACCGTCCTAAAAGGATGAATCTACAAAAATCAAAAGGCCTATTTAATATTTTAACAACATATAATCCATTCGGCCACAAAATTAACAAAAGAAAATGACCCTTAAATCAATAAATATACTTTTCAATCTTTAAATGCACAAATTTAGTGGGCGTGTCGCCACCGCATTTCTATTTCTAAAGAAAAACAAAATACGTAAATTAAACGACTCACCGTCGAGCGGTCGACAGAAAACACTCAGTTAAATCCTTCGGCCGTCTTAGTAAGCCTTGATCCAGCCGTATTCTTCTATTAGTTTAGAAGACGCCGAGACGAGCAGCTAGCCACAGCGACAGCAGCAACAGCTATTCAGATCTGAGTCACCTGTGACCCGGAACTTAAAGGGTGCTATCAATTTGACCCGCCAAAATAAAATACGGGTTCTTATTTTATGCAGGTTACGCCTGGGATTGCCACATCTATCACTACTGCCTTCTTCTGCTGTTTGTCCATCAACACGATGTCTGGTTGGTTAGCCATCACCTGTTTGTCAGTCTGGATCTTGAAGTCCCATAGGATCTTAGCTCGGTCATTCTCAACTACCTTAGGAGGTGTCTTCCATTTTGACCTTGGGACTTCCAGCCCATACTCATGGCAGATGTTCCTGTACACTATGACAGCTACCTGGTTGTGGCGTTCCATGTATGCACTTCCTGCCTGCATTTTACACTCTGCTGTTATGTGCTGTATTGTTTCAGAGGCATCTTTGCACAGTCTGCATCGGGGGTCCTGCCTGGTGTGGTAGACCCTGGCCTCTATTGATCTTGTACTGAGTGCCTGTTCTTGTGCTGCCATGATTAGTGCCTCTGTGCTGTCCTTCAGTCTATATATATATATATATATATATATATATATATATATATATATATATATATATATATATATATATATATATATATATATATATATATATATATATATATATATAAAGGCATATTTATATATATATATATATATATAAAGGCATATTTATATATATATATATATATATATATATATATATATATATATATATATATATATATATATATATATATATATATATATATATATATATATATGTCTGTATATATACATATATATATATGTTTATATGTACAGATACGTATATATACATTTATGTCTATATGTATATATATATATATATATATATATACATTATAACAAAGTTGAGGGTTGAGTGTGTTTATCTGGTAATTTTTGGCTTAACATGTTTGGTTTTCACTATCATTGAACTTGATGTGAAAAAAATTGCCAGAGTTGTACTAAAGTCAGAGATGCATTATTCCAAAATAATATTTCTCAAGTAGAGGTAGTGCAGTAAAACTAATCTTAGGAGATTTTTAAGCTGAGAGTAGCTGTGAAAGATCCACAACTCAAAAGAGAGAATCTGTCGACATTTATCTTTCTGTCCAGCTTACGAAATCGCCATTGCAAACATAGATGCGGTAACATCAGGATGTTAGGATGGTTTTCTTCTGCAGGTACAGAGAAACTGGTTTAGAGTTGATGAGATGATGGATTGGGCTAAATCCAGGACAGTCAGGGAAGAAATCTGTTAGAAGCTGCATAAGATACAAGACTGGAAAAAGACCCTAAACTCTACCAATTTTTCATTCTGTTTAAAGCAATTTTCATTTGTTACAACAAGGTAAATCCTGCTTGTGGGAAACTTTTCAGAGGGATATGAATCATTTTGCATGATACTACCCTTTTTATGTTGTTTTATCTGCAAAATGTTGCTATTTTTAGCATTTTTAAAGACATGCTAAACACGAAAATGTTTTTACTCAGAGCAAAGCAGGAATTATTTATTAAAAGCTTTTAATAATGTCAGAGCAAAATTCTTTTAAAACTAGGCCTGCAACTAAGGATTATTTTGCAAATTGATGAATCTTTCGATTATTTTTTCAATTAATCAATTAATAATCTGATAGTGAAAGATTCTTTAAAGAAGACGTTTTACGAAATTAAACCAGGTGGAACTCAAAGTTTTCCGCTTGAGAAGTTCTGAATAGAGCATATTTTTTAAATCTTAAATGCAATATGTTGATTTTTTATTTTTTTTTTACAATCTTGATATATTTACTGCTCTAAGTGGATGCTCTGTCAGCTAAGGACATGCTAAGAGTCTTTATACTCCAGTTACAATTAATCATTTACTAAAGTAGTTGACGATTATTCATGATTAATCCGATGAATAGCTTCAGCCCTAGTTTAAAGATTAAAAAGGATCTGTCAAATATAAAGAAGTATGTTATAAGTTAAAGTTCATTGATACATCTTGTATTGTATATACTATAACAGAACTGAATAGATTTTTATTTTCTTTGCTTAGGATAAATATAGACAGACAGACTGTTTTAATCCCGAGCTGGGAAATTACAGCGTAGCAGCAGCTTTACACATAGTGACAGTCACAGCACAGTGAGGTAAATAGTACAATAACATTTAGACGTATTTGCAATGTAAAAATAGATAAATAAAGAGTATTGGTTAAAATACAAGTAGAATAAAATAAGTATAAGGTGCAATGATAGTCCAATAACTAAATATATGGTTGGAAACTTTAAAAAGTGGAAAATTATAGAAAGGATTAAAATGAAAATCAAAAACATGTCAGCCAAGTTTTCTCTCTACAGATCAGCAGTTTCCTGAGAGAATTAGATTAGAATAAACATAAAAGAATGAATATAAAACAGACACTAAAGAACAAACAGATTTTGTTATAAAGAAAAATAATACATTTAGAAAATATTTGTATATACAATGGATAATAAAAGTATACATTCCTCTATTACAGCCTGCCAAACGTTAAATATTCTGATGTTTCTAACTTTTAAGGTGACTTTTATTCTTCATTATTCAACAAGGAAACAACTCATCTAAAGGAAAAATACAACAGAGGTCTCATAACAATGTTTCTGAAGCCATGGCTGAAGAGTTTGCTTTGGTTTTGCATGCATGCATAAGTTACGAGTTGCTGCCACCCAGTGTGGATGTGTGGTCAGTGACCCTAGTACAAAATAACTTCACATTTGTTGTACCGTTTTTAATTGTAGCAACTTTCTCACATCTTTCAATGACTTGTATTTTTGGTTCAAATCACTTGTAAGATGAACTCATGGCAATTCAAGTTAAAGGAATAGTACACCCAAAACATGATTAGCCTTCATTTTCTACTCACCCCCATGCTGAACAACACTCTGGCCGGCTTCCGTAGCGTCGTGAGCGCGCATGTGCGAGCTTTCAGGAAATCCTATACACTACTGTTTATGCTCTAAAAACATTCTAAATGACTTCCCTGCTGAAAAATAAATGTGCTAAGTGTACTAAAATTTAGCATACTTTTGTGTACTTGAAGGCACACTAATCATTACTATACTTTAAGTGTGTTTATGATTAGTTAACTTGAAGGATGCTATTTTGGAACAACTAATTTTGTACTAAATATATTTTAATTGTAATTAAATTGTGGACAAGCTCAACTTGAAGTGTATTTAGTGTACTTTGATGTGCTAAAGTGGAACAACTTAAAGTATATTTTGTATACTTTAAGTATATGAGTTTATATGTACTAATATATGCTTAATTAGTCAAATTAAAGTGCACTATGGTTGTATTATAACTACATTAAAAATGATTTGTTAGTGTCTTAAAAATATATAAGCTTTATACTTTTAATATACTCTTACTGTGGTAATAATATGCTTAATTATACTGTTGGCTTATTCCAATTACTAAAAAAGCATACTTTGCAGTTAATAGTAAATATACTTTATCATTACATTGCTATACTACTTTCTACCTTGCACATTCTTGCAAATGTATTAACAGTATACTAAATGCTGAAAGACTTGTGGATATACTTCCGTGCAGATGAAAAAATATACTTTAATGTATTTGAAACATGTCCAAATTATAGTACATTACAAATAATATAACTTGTACTATCTCAGAATGTATAAACATTTACATATCGACGTTAACCATTTTCATTATAAAACTTACAACACATTTTCAAATATTGGTACTTTAGTACACTTTGTAGAAATATGTCAATTTCAGGCAGCAGACCTAAACATTACAAATAAACTTTAAAGAACGCAGAGGAATACTGAACAATGAAAAACAACATTCCTTATTATTGCACCCCTAAACCCTCCCACCATACAAAAACACGCCCACCACACATTATTTTCCTTTTTTTGGCTGAACTGCTCATTGTTACATTTTCGTCTGATGGCCGTGCGCACATCAGAGACACTTGTCTACGGAAACTCCAGAAGAACAGCGTCTGTTAACCAAACAGAGAGATACTGTAAATTCATAGTATTTTTGAGCAGTACATCAGAAAAGTCTGACAAATTGTATCAGTATGATATACCAGGGTCCATAAGTGCACCAGAAAAAAAAATTGTCCATTTCAGTTGAATTTAAATAAATCTGATGCATCAAGTGGTTTTATCAGATCTGATCAAAAAAATTAAACAAAGTAACAACAAAAATTGTCAGAGATCTCAGAAAAGAAAAAAATTATGAATCCGCAGAAAGAAAGGGAAGAAAAATCCTTAAGTTTCCTTGTTTTTCCTACCACCCTCCAGGGAACCGGATGGCATTCGCATTGGGAACATCCTGCATCAACATCTCTGGTAGAGTCTAGTCCAGTCCATACAATGAACTGCTCAGCTGTAACAGCAGATTCTGCAACTATGTAAAAAAAAAAACAGCCTGCACACAAATGTGCAGAGCAATTACTTCAATTGGAAAATAAATCATGTAATCACCATAATATAAATTGGTTTTTACCACATTTATACAGACAAAAATATAAAGTAAAATTATCAATTTACATGTGGTTCACTGTCTAAGAAATCATTATGGTCAGTAGTCAATACTTGTATCTGGAAAAAACAATCCAGGACACCTATGAAGGGTTAATTTTACGTTAACCCCTTGTGGGGGTTTTACAGCAACATCACACAAGATGTAGCTAGCTTGAAAGTGCATTTTCTTTTTTAGAAGAGCACATGGGGGGTGTGTTAGCCTCCTTCTCACTGTGCTAATGCATTCAATAAATCAAAAGAGCTAGTAAAATTACATATATTACAAAACATTATATCCTGACTGGTTTTACATCTCAAAAAATATATATATTTCATTCACAGGTTCATGTGAACTCACCAGGATATTCTTCAACACAATAATACAGCAAATCTTCCTGCTCAACCGATTACATCTCCTGTTTCTACAATACAAATATAATAATCAAAATCGCGTTTTATACAGATATCTTAAGATTTCAAAACCAAATGGGAATGTTTTGAAAGTTACCTCTCTCCATGCAGACCAAGGCCTTAAAAGAAAAGCACGCTAGCTCTGAGCAGGGAGGAGCCGTGACTAACTGCTGTGCAGGTGTGGTGCATTCAAAGTCTATGGGAATTCTGATATCAGTACTGAACCAAAAACTCCCCAAGACTAAAATTCTTGGGGAGCTACTACTTTACAGACATCAAGGCCAAACAACCTCCACATATCACTCCTATATGCATGAAGTGCTGTCAGCGACTTTTAAATATGTGCACTCACCAATTGGTCTTGTTTGCAGTAGCCCTGCTTTGATCCATTAAACAATACTAATGAAATGTTCTTTTTTGAACACTTGAGACAATTGTAATGTGTTAAGTTTATTTCTTTTGCATTTGGCCAGTATTAACTTTTCTGTTGCAATGTGGGTTATGCTATTTGTTAGATCATAATGTAGCACTGCACCAGCTTTAAACCACTTGCTTTTCAGCAGAACACACATTTTTGTGCACCTGTACTTTTGAAGTGAACATTTAGTGTTTTGTTCAATGTGGTTTTGTGTGTAAGATGTATTGTATCATATTTCTTTTTCAAAACTTATTAAACATTACATAACAACTGCAATAATTGCTATCTGTGTACTTTACACACAGCACAAAATTGCATAATAGGGTTTAAGTGCATTTTTGTAGTTATACTATTGAACACTTTCCAAAAGAATTACCTGAAGTACAAGCGTATATAACTTCACTTCATAATTAGATTCAAATGTAACTTAAAATGCACTCAAACTTAATATTACAGTGTCGATATTAAAATGTGTACTTTTAAAATATGCTTTCAATGTACGTTACAATGACAACTTTGAGCATACAATTTAAAATATAGCAAAAATATATGTAAAAACAAATTTAAAATAAGTACACTTTAGAAATTACACATAACTTTCACTTAAAGTATACTTTTTTAATAATATATTTCTATAAAGTGTAACATAGTGTAATTATGTTAAAGTGTGTTAAAAGTATTAGCATGAAAGCGTAATGTTAGTATACTTTTTATATATTTACAAAAAGTACAATTTGTCTAAGTACATTTTCAGTAAACTATAGGAAATATGAATATACTTGAAATACAATAAAGCACATTTTTTTTTTACCAGGGTTCGTTTCGAGTAAATTCTGGATGCTACCCACTCAGGACACTTGGAATACATTGGACGAGCAGTATGGAGGAATATTGACACGTTTTTTGTGGACTTTTATGGATCTTTCTGTCTCGGTCACCGTAGACCTCCATTATTTGAATGTCAGCAGACAGCAAGAAGCCTCCCAGATCTCCAGATACATTTGAGATATCAAAAAAGTACTCCAGAGTGTTGTTCAGCATGGGGGTGAGTAGAAAATGAAGGCTAATCATGTTTTGGGTGTACTATTCCTTTAAACTGATTAGAATCAATCAAGCCAATAGTTTTATAATCCATTGAGATGTTTTCATGTTGTATGCTTCGGGCAATTTAACAAAAGAAACAGAAAGTTTGGGATGAATTCCATTCTGTGGGGGAAAGAAATGTAGTATAAATCATTCAGGTAGATGTATTAATGCAGTAAATGCAGCTTAACAATACAACATTTTCTTTAACCATGAGTCTTCGTGGTGTGTGACCCACCTGACCATTCTCCTTTGGTCTCCCTGCAGGCTTTAAAGCACGAGGAACAGCCTGCACAGCGCTCTGCTGGTGAGTGTGGCGTTTCGTTCCAGGTTGATTTCATGCTTTGTTTGTAAAAACAGTCATTTAGAAAATTAAATCAGTTTCATGGAAAGCCTGACAACATTTTAGTCTCCTCCTGGAGTTTTTGTGGCTTTGAAAGTCTAGTAGCTCTGGGTGTTAGTGGGTAAATAAAAATTTAATTTTGGCATAACTATAAAACTTGGAATTTGACGACTACTTTAATGATTTAGAGAACAGCCTTCTTGTCCTTGTTACTGAAAGGATGATTAGAATTCATGAAATACTACTCATGCATCTGCAAAGAGAACATAAAGCTTTAAATATGAGTCAGATGGCTCGGATCTGCTCAGCTCACTGTAAAATTAGAGTTTTACAAATGTCTCTTCTCCTCTAAGCAGAGTTGGAGGAGTTGGTAATAGTGATTCAGAGTCAGAGAAACTCCTACCATGCCCGACGGAGTCATCAAAGGAAGGAAGAGATTCTGCATGAGGCAGCTAATCTTGGCCAGGTAAGATTTTGTGAGCAGTAAATGATTTACAATTGACAACTAGAGAGAGTAAAATTAAATATGTGTCTTTCATATGTCTAAACATCCCTCCAAGAGTGTTTAAGTACTAAACATTTCTTCTCTCTGTTTTACTCTTGTTCACTCTTAATGAAGAAGTTCTGGACACTTAGGTATTTACTGCAAGTAGCAGCAGAAATATAACTTTAATCATAGTAATCATTGTCCCCACACTGATCTTGTTTCTTTGTATTTTTGAATTGGCTAAATACAAATGTTGTTTTCAAATGATACCAGCTACTATGGGAGAAAGTGTATCCAAGCCAGTCTGGCCTTGACTGACAAAGTAATTGCCCTCCAAACCTAATATCTGCTTAAGTCAATCTCTGCAAACAGATTTTCACCCATTTTTCTTTGCAGAATGTTTTTAATTCAGCAACATATGATTGTTTTCAGCATTAATGGTCATGATACAAAGGTCATGATACAAAAGTTTAGGTGTAGGAAGTCTGGATATTAAAGGAGAAGTTCGGTTTTTAACACTTTTAGCCCATTTTCTGTAGTGTCCAGGATGAAATCGAATGATCGACACCAAAAGTTTGACAATTGCTCCTGTCTCTGCTTTTTGGCTCATTTAGAATCCACCCCTGGCTGCTTTAGAATGGCTTCCATAGAGCATGTCCGATAATGTCCTTAAAACAACCTTAAACGTTCTTTTTTTTAAAGATGCTACTCACCGGGTCGTCAGCGCTGTTCAATGACGTTCCAAAAAAAGTTTCGTGAAGAAAAAACGTTCCTGTAGTGTTTTATTTAGCATTTTGTAAATCCCATTGAGTTATGTTGGAATAGTCAATATTCCCCTGCCACCGGAAACGGAAATGGGGCCTGTTTACACAGTTGTAGTCTTTTCGCTTCACTCTGTGTACTCCGACGTCGAGAATCAAGAATCCACCTTTCGTATTCCATTTTCAGAGTTTTTTAAAGTGTTTAACAGAGACGTTAGCACCTCGACGTCGGAGTACACAGTGTGAAGCGAAAAGACTACAACTGTGTAAACAGGCCCCATTTCCGTTTCCGGTGGCAGCGAAATATTGACTATTCCAACAGAACTCAATGGGATTTACAAAATGCTAAATAAAACACTACAGGAACGTTTTTTCTTTACGAAACTTTTTTTGGAACGTCATTGAACAGCGCTGACGACACGGTGAGTAGCAAATTTAAAAAAAAGAACGTTTAAGGTTGTTTTAAGGACATTATCGGACATGCTCTATGGAAGCCATTCTAAAGCAGCAAGGGGTGGATTCTAAATGAGCCAAAAAGCAGAGACAGGACCAATTGTCAAAATTTTGGTGTCGATCATTCGATTTCATCCTGGACACTACAGAAAATGGGCTAAAAGTGTTAAAAACCGAACTTCTCCTTTAACTAGGCCTTTCTAAAACCTGTATTTTCAAAGCCTTTTAAAACTGGACTTGTAGCTTTGTACAACCATGAGGGGCTTTTCTTAAAGGTCAAATAACGGATGGTCTGACATTTCAGAACTTCCTGTTACAGAGCAGATTTTATGGTTTCATTAATTATAACAAGTCACCCATGACTTAAGCAACAAAGCAGCCAAGATCATCCCACTATCATGTCGGGAAATGTTGTTTTTGATGTAATCTGCAACACATTTGTGTGCAGATTGGTGTATCTGTATCTTCTCTTAGTCCAGGGTGTGACCAGAAGCTACACCATCCACAGCTAAATCTCATTAAAGATAATCAAGGGCAGCTTAAAGATAATCTGCATCCTTGGGGTTGATTTGTTTTGCATACATGATTGGTAATTAGGTTTTCACACTTTCCGTGTGTAGTTCTTTTATATCCCTTATATCCATCCATCAATTTTCTGCCACGCTTATCCCAGCTGGGGTCACGATGGGTGCTGGTGCCTATCTCCAGCTGTCTATGGACGAGAGGCCGGTCTATTGCAGGGCAACACAGAGACAAACTGGGCGGACAACCATTCACACACACACTCACACCTAAGGAGAATTTAGAGAAGCCAATTAACCTAACATTTGTGTTTTCGGACTGTGGGAGGAAGCCGGAGTACCCGGAGAGAACCGACGCATGCTCAGGGAGAACAGCAGACTCCATACAGAAATACCCAGAGCAAGGGATCGAACCAAGAACTTTCTTGCTCAGCCACTAAGCAACATATATCTGATCTGCTGTACTAGTCTTCCTTAAAAACTGAATGTAGAAAAAAGAAACAAGTGGGAACATTCTTCTTCAATCAAGTATGCGGCAGAAAAAAAGTATAACTTGCGAGAGAATTCAAAACTCTGTGTAATAACAGACTCAAAACTTGCTTTTAAATCACAGACAAAAAAAATGTCTGTCATCCTTTTAAATATGGTATTGCATATTTTAAGCTTTAAGACCACATTATCGTTAAAGGCATCTAAGGTGTCCATGTATGCTATATGATCATCACACATAACCTATTGTCTTACAACCTGGTCACATGCAGGGCTGTAAGCAGGGCCCAAAAAACACTGAGGTCAAGAGTTAGAACTTCTAGGCTTGTTCTGCGGCCTGCTACCCCAGAAATGTTTTTAATCTCATTATTTAATGCAAAACTGACTTTACATTGTCATAGATGGATAACGATAGTTCATGGGGTAAAATGGAGGTACAGAGAAGTTCAAACGCCATCAACACCTCCTTTCTCTGCAAATCTCACAATTTTAAACTTCCACCATAAAACGGGCTAATTCAAACAATGCACTGAATTGACGTCGATTCAGGGATGTTGCCTTATTTGGTTCTGGCCTGTACTTTTCTCATGCCCCGAAATTGACATATAGACCAGCCCACTGGTTCACTGTAGTCGACCAAAATCCCTGATGATTTTGAAATTCCCACCGGACATTTTTTTTAGGTATAGAAATCAGGAAATGAGCATACCATAAAAGGAAGAAAACCTGTCGTTTCATTCTAGGGCTTTTAACCAGGCTTGCATAAGGGCGCATAGAACAGCAAATGTGCCATTTTCCGCCCAACCAATGTTACACACCCTATTCAGAGACCTTAAGGACCAGCACCAAATGCCCTATAGAATTATTCTATGACCCCTTTAAATCTGTCCATTTTTAGAGTCTTAAAGGATAAATAATATCATTATGACTTTCCAATAGGCTAGGCTGGGCATTTCTCTGTTGCTCTTCTCCTGACCCAGATATTTCAGGCATTATAAACTAGTAAACTTAATTTTTATGTCATCTCTCTTTTGAAGCCCCTATCTACTAGTGATTAGAGATGCGTCACAAAAGACTTTCCAATATAATTGAAATAAGTTGCTTCATATTTACTTCAGTATCTAAAGTAGACACCCTAACCCAATTACACTATTTTGTTAAGATGTGGCCGAATCGGTACGCTTTTGTTAAGCAAAGCCAGCTTTTGATTTTCTATTCTAATCTTACACAATACTTTAATGCATTAAAGATCTGGCTTTTAAAACATATACAGTTCTGGTACAGTATTTTCCTTTTATCTGCTCTCCCTCTATCTCTCTCTTCACTGCTCCTTTTGCTCATATCAACATGGTCAAAAACTAAACTGATAGAAATGAAAATGAGGCTCTGTATAACAAAGGTTAGAGCAGACTCCTCCTACTGAGGGGACTGAGCTCTTTTGGAGTGCAGGGGAAGCTCCTAAAGATCTATGACATGGTTGTGGCATCATCCTCTGTGGAGTTGTCTTTTGGAACAGTGGCTTATCTGTAGCTGAGAGAAAACTGCTGGATAAGCTGATCATGAAGCCCAGCTCTGTCATTGGATGTCCTCTGGACTCAGTGCAGGAGGTGGAAAACAAAAGGATCCTAATTTTATTAACATCTCTGTTG